TCATTCATATGAGAATAAATTCAGACTGAAACTATAAATTTGCCTGCTACAGATACCAGACAGTTGTCTGAAGCTGCTGATATGCTTATTCTAATTATTCTAATTACAGTGATATGTGTGATTTTCCTGTCTACCACAAAACAGTCAGTGCTTTTCCCTGCTGCAGCACTTCAGTGGAAAATTCAATAATTTCCAGAGTCAACCAAAGAAAATAATTGCAGTTCAGCATCAAGAAGTACTGACCACCCTCAGCAGATGATCACTTAATCGCTGCAGAGACTGGTGAAAGAGATGGGCAGGAAACTCCAGAGGCTGCCAACATTCATGTCTGCGCTAGCCTCATAACAGAAATTTCCTGGCATTGATCCTAACGCAGGTACCACTGAACCCGTGTCTGTTATTGCTGAGCATGGCAAAAAGGGACTTGCTCCATTCAGCCCCTTGAATTCAGCACAGACCGGTCAGTGCAGTGTCCTGCTCTGCATTACTGCTAACGCTGCCCAAAGAGCTCCAATAACAGCCAGGGCAGCGCAAATTCATTCAGCTTGATGATTCAGGAGGTGTTCCTCAACACACTAAAAATGAAACAGAAGGGAAAGGTCTTAGTTTTGTTAAGAGCAGGATATTGCAGGATCACTGCGGAAGTCCCACCTCAGATGAACAAAGCCTCTGGCTCTCCTGGGGAGGTGGGAAGCTGGACTTCACAACACCAAGTGACCATACACTAGAGTTAGAAGAATCCAGGTTGGGTGGTTTTTCTGATCACTAGGCTGCACTCCTTTCAAGCCCTTCTGTTCAGCAGAAAGCTCTTTCTCCTCCAAGAGAGGAAAGTAAAACATGGGACCTTCCACATCCCACACAGAAGCTATAATGGAAGCTCATGACAATGTGGTTTCCTCCAAGAAACGATAAAAGGCAGTCATAGCTTTGTTCTCTCAACTACCTGTTCTCACACCCCATTATTTTTACAATGTGTTCCATATCGGTTGTTTCTGGACACATCTGGATGATAAAATGCCAAGAGTTATTTAAACTGGTGATTATAGGAAAGCAGTAAATGTTGACATTACAAGAGCAAGGGAAGCCCTTGCGCAAAATGCTGATAGCTCTCTGGGGAGCACGTGTGACTGCTGGAGGAAGACCTTGCACACCTCAGCACACACAGCAAGGCTATTTCTATACTCTGTGAGGCACCGCCCATTGGTAGCCTCTCTGAACAACAGGTATGGCTGTATCACATCAACTGCACTCATAAGTAGCCAGCACAGCCTCTTGCTCCTACTTGATTTTTGGTAGCTGTCCCCAGATACCGGGAGATAGGAACAGACAAACATGTAAATGGATTAAGAGTTTCTAGGGTTTGTCAATACAATCCAAAGCAAACACCTGAGAAATCATTTATGGCTAACTCAGGTATGAGGTCATGGCATCAAAGTGTTCAGAGATGGAAGAGACCTTTGAGATCAACTTCTTAGGTGTCTGGAATCCTGTCCCAGGATATAGACAGGGTCTTCTCCATCTTCAAATTCATCAACTCTTAGCAAAAAGGCAACAAGAAAACTGCCTGCAAAGGAAATGGAGCAGGTTGTGAACTGCTGCAGTCTTGCACAACACATGGAGATATCCAGCACCAAGAGTATTCTCCCCAGATTGCAACACACCAGCAGACATCCAGGTGACTGGATGTACTGAGCACCCATCAAAATCAGCCATCCTGCTGGTCCCCACCTGCAATCATTGCCCATCACACCAATGAGGAGATGATCTCCAAGGACGCAGCACAGCTGACTGCCAGGGCTCAGGCAAACACACCAGTCCTGGGCCAGGCCTCTGGATCACGCTTTTAATATCAAGCTAGGAGGTGATGGGCATGAGGAGAGACAGGATTAAGTCACTACTGCTGCTCTCACCAACTCTTGATGAGAAACCAACTTTGTTCCTCAGACTGACTTTGGAAGACTCAAATCTTCCCAAACAGAGAGTCTCCCATATGGTCACAATTTACTGACTTGATTTTGGAATTACATAATATTGGTATTTATGAGCCAAGTATTTAATCATCAGTTGAAAGAACAGTGGGCCCATTGTTGGCCTGCCCATTACTACAGCTCCAGAAGCTCAGGGCAGCCCACCCCACTTCTCTTCATGCAGTTGATCTGGGACTTCTTTAATGGGTGTGATATTAAAGCTGCAGGCAGATGGGTACAGCAAACAGTATGTGGGCAATGAAGGTAGTGGAGGGGAACACCACATTCCCTTAGTCCTTCCTGCCTGCAAAAAGTTATTATGCAGAGAGAAAGAAATATATTTCCCTTGCAAAACAGCCAAGCTGACATGACTGGTAACCATGCAGTGCCACCTCTGTCCTTTGGTATCACCATACCAAAACAAAACAAGGCTCAGTGCTACAGCTCTGCCCAAAGCATGGGTTTGATACATCTGCCAGAAAGGAAAACTTTTTCCTACTTAGATCTGAACCTGTCTTCAACACTGCATCCTTGCCATCTAGCCTGGGTCAGTGCCAAACTCTGGTAAAGTACAAAGCCCGGCTTTTGTTCAGGACATGTGCCCATCTAGAACTAGTCTCAGATGATCTGCAACTTGCAATGGAAACTGTCCGTTCCCACTGGCAGACCAATTTCTCTGGGATTCTTGGCAATCTCTGCTACTGTTGCTGTCCCAGATAGCCAAGTCACTTAGCATTTCCCCATCTCCAGCTTCATGGCTTGTGTGGGGCACAGTCCCCTTTTTACAGTTTTTATTCAGCCTCACTCAGGAGATTTTGAAAAACATGGATTTCTGCCCATTACGTATTGGCATCTTTGAGGCTGGTCTGCAGCTATTTTTAAATGCATACAGCTCTGTGACAGGCAATGCATTCAGCCCTCCAGCTCTGATCCTCCAAGACACAGAACACTAAATCAGAAGTTAGCACAAGCTTTTTAAAAGCCTCTGTCAGTTCCAGTTTTATAAACCACTTTACTTAAAAATGCAGCCTTTCCAATCAATTTTGCTTTCAAGATTCACATTTATTTCCTTCCCTCCCTCCACACTTCTACAAAATGCTAATATGGGTAAAGACTGCTTCTCCCAAAACACATAGCTCAGCATCAAGTTCATCTGTCACAGATGTTCGCATCCTCTGAGCCAACCTGGTAGCCCTTTCCCAAACAGTATTCAATAGAAAAAAAGCAAACACCAACATCCTGATTTGCTCTGACCAAGTATTAGTTTACTCTGGGGATTCAAGAAAAGTTAGAGGCAGGAGAGATCAAATGAATTATCCTGGTCATTGTAGAGGTATTCCTTGCTCAAGGTTTTTTTCTGGACTCCTACTAAATGTGCCAGGCTTAGACCTTCCAGCACTTCTGTCAAAAAGGCAAACTACATTCAGATTTCAAGGTTAATTCCAAGAACACTGCTTGCAGGACAAGACTAACATTGTTCAAATAACACTGTGTCAAAACACAGCAAGTTTGAAACTTCAAACCCCCCAAAACCTGTTTGATTTTTCATTGGTGATGGGAAGGATTCCGTAACAGAAATTAATACAGATTTAATTTTCTGGAGCAAATTTTTAAAAAATATCTTTATAACATTTCCCACTTGTGTGTATTTTAGATACATACACAATTAAAATGACCATTTAAGTTGACATCATGCTTCTCAAGTTTCAACTGTACACAACTGGAAACAGCTGAGGAATCACGGTTAAGGATGGTAATTTCTATGCTAAGTTCCACTTTAACTGGCATAATGATTATTTGCCAGACTAGTTCACTTGGAAGAAAGATGTCTCTTCTGCTGCTACATATATCCAGTATCTAATGGACTCAGGTCAATGTACAAGCCAAACACACTCCAAAAGCAGCTCCTGCATCCCACTTATTAAGTTTCGAGGCACTCACCTGGCCCTCTGATGGCTTTTTCCTCCCTCAGGAGATGCACATGGCTCTTGGAACATCAAACATCACCAGTTTTCTCCAAAATGCAAAGGAAAACAACATGAAGGCAGTGTGAGGCATATTTGGGGTATCCAGCTCCTGGAAATGCTCCCTGGAGTAAGAACTTTGCACCTCAATGAGGGCTTTAATACATTGAGAGGCAAGAAAAGGGTAAGGACACAATGACTGCTCTCATCTATCGCTGGGAAAACCTCCTCCTTACTCATAATAGCATAATATTAGATCAAATACTGAAGTATGGGATTTTCAAATCTTTTAAAATTAAATATTTATTATCATATCTCTGAATAAAGGCCAGGAAGAGAGCTCAGGAATCCTGTACTTTCAGCCAAGACAGTGAATCAAGGACAGAGGGAACACATAAAGGAGTGTCCTACTGGAAGCCAAAGGATGTCCCAGGGGACTCCAGCTGGGAGTCCTCTTGATGTTTTGTCAGAGGATTTGCCCTGGTTCAACAGTGCAGCTAATTGGAAGCACAGAGGGGAAGAAATGGAGCTACAAGACCTGCAGCTTTGCCTGCAACAAACCTTTCCAATTAGAACAGTGAGAGCAAAAATGACAAACACCAGTCAACATCACCAGAGCTGAGGTCCTGGGTTACTCTGCAAGAGCCTTTTTAAGCCTGAAACACTCACTAGAATGTGAACAAGGATTTAGCAGGAAGAAGAGATACTCGTTTGGGCAAACTTTTGTCTTGCCTGAGGAATCCCCTGAGAACTGGAGATTTAGACTTTATTGCTTATCCTCCCAGTGACTTAGGTAGTAAAGAATTATATACAGTTCCTGCAAAGCCTTGATCACCTAAGCCTTCTACGCAGCCTGTCAGCTGGTTCAGTAAAGGACATGCAAAGACACTGGAAGTAGAATTTATAGCTGTTTTATGAGTGTGCCACAAACCACGTCTAAGTACCACTAAAAAAAACCCCAAGCAAACCATGGTTTAAAGGACTTCTCCCACCTCCACATTATCTGACAGGAAGAATACAGTATGTAACTTCTTAAAAGCTCACCTCCACAAAGATAATAAAGCCCTCGTGGTGCTGCCCCATACACTCTCACAAAACCAAAAGATAAAATTCAATGTTTTCTCCTTTAAAAAAGTTCTCTCTTTTCCTAGCTACAGCTCTTCTTTCACTGTTTCCCTTCATTTCAGTTCAAACCAGGTTGGAAGAAGTATCCCAAGTAAAAGCATCACCATTGCAAGCACTGAAACACCAAAGGCAAGAGTTACTTTTCAAAGCAGAAAGGATGGCCATGAGAAACCTATGGGCAAAGGCAGTGTCCCCACAAGGGACAGAAGCAAGCCTTGCTTTTATCCCTGAAGTGGCTAATAAGAACAAGTTACTTTCAGCCATGCATTACTGAAAAATGTCCTAAGAAAAATATGAGCAGCTACTTTTGAAGCATTGGAAAGCAATGGAAAATCAGGCTGGAATTAGAGCAAGAGGTATAGGGAACTAAGGGAACAGCAGGAAGGGCTCAGCACCTTACAGAACCGGTCCTTCTAACATGGTTGGCTATTGCCTACTAAATCCTATGCCCAGCTGGAGATATGTCCCACCTCTGCTAAGATAAAACAACATGTTGAGATTTTGGACAAAAAGTCCTTTCACAGACTCAAACAATGTTAACTTTTCATTTGGTGACTACTGACAGGGAGGCTGTGCTGCCATCTCTGAGATCTCTGCAAAAGAAAAACTCAGAGATGGTGATTTAATACCCCCTTTTAGTGGCATACGTGGCCAGTTGGGGATCACAGTACCTGAGGGAGCAGGCAGAGTTCTTGATGCTTGTGATGATGTTGGAGCATACGGGCATGAGCATTTTCTACTGCCCTATCTGGGACACGCAGTACCCTGGCAGAAAATGTTAGCACTATTGCTCTGTGAGGTTTTTTGGTCTGCCTGTAGTGCCTTCTGGAAATAACAATTTCACAGAGTTACAGCTGCTTCTGTGGTCACTAACAGCATCTCCCAGCATCAGACTCTCTAGTGAGTAGTCAAGCACCCAGCAGAATAAGCAGCATCACATTCTGTCACGCTTCCAGGAAATCCAGCAAAGATCGAGAGTTTCAACAAGCATCTTTGGTACCCAGCCCCACTCCTCCCCTCAAGGCCTCTCCAGTGGCCAGAGCTTTACTAATGCAATTTTACCTCTTGCTCAAAGTTTCGGTACATTGGACACATTTGGGAGGCCATAAGACTCTCTGATCGTGTCAGAGTACTTGTTCATGAATATAGATGGAGAAAAGGAAAACCATGCACACAGAACCGTACTTATAAAGCCTCTGTGGATCTAGTAAAAGGTCAGCCTTTCCCTTCCCCACATCCAGCACCATCATTTCTGGGAATAAATCAATTCTTGCTAAGCTACTGAAACAGACAAATTAACCTGAGCAAAAAGCAGAGATTGCTGATGATCATCAAGCACAAGCACGCACTTAAACACCACCACACATAGTTTCCAGGATTGACAGCTATAAAGAGAGAGAAATCACTGATTTCACAGTGATTCTGTGTCAGCTGCGCTATTTCTTTCCATCAGGAAGTTCAAAAGGCAGGTTTCGGGAGCAGGAAACCAGGGAAAAGAGAAGGAGCCCTAAAAAGTTTGGATGTTGGAAATCAATAGCAACTAGAGGAGGAGTGAGAAGAGAGATACCATTTTTAAATAGTTTAACGTTCTGGCATTTGCATTTCCTATTGATTAGAAAGTGCAAAAAATGCAGATGAGGATAGAGGGATTGATGACAGAAAAATCAATGGCTGCTTTACAGGAGTCATTCAATAGTAGTGAAAGAAATTTGCCATTTTGCAGAAATCACATCAGGTAGGTGTGAGCTGGCACAATCTCCTGTTCCCCAGAGGAGGAGGATGTCCAAGCCTTTCACCTCCCACCTGCCTCTCATTAGCTCACACTGAGCTGGAGCTCAGTGGAGCAAGTTGAGAGGAAAAAGCTTCATTCTGTTCTCAAGCCTGTTGCCAACATGTTGGTTGGCCCTAGGCCATCATTTCTGTAAAAGAAATTAGATGATACCTCTTCTTGCCACTTGAGTGTTGTGCAGCTCAATTAGTGAATGTTTGCGTGGTACTTTGAACATACCAAACTGTAGAACGAGCAGCTGTTACTGTCCATACTCTGCTGATCACAGACTACCACTGACCACGCTGTATATTGAACTGGAGCTGGGGAAAACCTCACACTCACTGTGATCTGTTTAAGAGTTGCCACATTTATTTTACTGTGTACCTAAAGACATGCAAGGGACTAACAAGACAGCTTGATTAGATACACGAGATCTATGTCATTGCGTCACAGTAATTTCACCTTCACACTGACCTCAGTGTGACTGAGGTTGTGACCTGGATCCCTGACAGCTGTGCCCTGTCACCATACTTTTCTGATTTGATGAATGTGAAGACAGGACATATGGAAGACACTTTCCTTCTAAACCAAGAACACATGCATGAGTGACCAGAACAAACAGAGATCAAATCCCCGTGTTGACTGCAAGAACACACAGAGATGCAAATTATTATACTCTGCATCAAGAACACATCCAGCTTTCCAGCAAAACCTTAGAGATGGTCACCGACTTTCATTGCACAGTGACTTTGTCACTCAGGTTTCTCTTACTGCTGCACTAAATCTGCTGGGATTCAGGTGGGGAACGACAGAGGAAGAACAGGGCAAGGCCCCTGGGATGGCCTCTGTTCAAGATACCTACCTTGCAAACAACATTTCTGGGCCATCCTGGGCATCTAACAAAACATGCCTACATCTGTGTTGGCTTGCCAAACTGCCTTGACAAGAAACAGAGAGATCCCTTCACTAATAGACTCATTAGCAGAGATAGAAAGGCATCCAGATGATGACTCATGCAGTCTGAGACACTCACCTGGGATAAAATGAACATGACCTAAAAACATTTATGCCTGTTGCTGTTGATGCCTACAGCAGTGCAATCAAGTCAACACAATATTATCTGCATATTTTTGTCTGGAAGTGGTGAAATCTCTAGATAAAACAGGAGACATCCAGACTGACAGACCTCTGCTTGCAAACAAATGGCTCCTTACGACAGCTGCCAACGGACACTGAGAGCAAAAGCCTCTGCACTAGCAGCAGCCATTGCTGCATGCTCCCCTTACAACAGCTCCCACAGGTTCTTCCCATGCAAACTTGTTTCCCTGGAAAAATCAGCAGCAACTTGACTCTTGGCTTGAGACTTCAGTCACCACTGAATACTTCAGCAAGCCCATGCGGAATGTGATGCAGGGACTGCTGTTGAGGAGGGGAGGGAGACTGTTCCTCAACCGCCGATGTTTTAAGCAGAGCCAAGGACTGACAGGCCCTGCCAGCCCGAGCACTCACCAGGTTGACGAAGTCCTGGTAGCAGATCCTTCCCTCAGAGTTGCTGTCTGCCAGGGCCAGCAGGACCTCCAGCTTGTGGGGGTCCAGCTCCGAGCCGTGTCTCTGGAGAAGGGAGCGAAACTTCTCAGTGCTGATGTAGCCGGTGTTGTCAGGATCAAACTGGGATAGGAGGGGAAGGTGCCAGAATTAACCATTGACGTCACACACAACTCTGCCCTCCTAAGCATTTATCACCTGCTGCAGACCCACAGGGACCCCAGGGGCTGCTCTAGGCTTTGCTGACACATTGCCCTGCAATCACCCCACCTCCAGCTTCTTTCCACTGCCCAGGGACTGCAAAGCACCCCGCTGTAGACAGAGGTGAACCCACCATCATTCACACCACCATCCCATCTCCACCCAGTTGAGTCAGGTCCTCTTCACCTTCCTTCCCTCTGCATCATCATTTCTCTTGGATGCTTTTTATATCCTTCTCTATCCAGACTATCGAGCAAACCAGAGATGCAGTCTGTGAGATAAACTGTACGGAAAACAGCTTTACTCCTGTACTTCCTAGCACAGTTGCAACACAGGAATACGCCATCCCCCCCCTCAAGCCCTTTCTGTGCTCAGTGTTCCCAGCAGTCACCTTTCATCTCTACAGATGCCTTCAAAATGCTAAGTGCTTTCACTGCTGAAGAGCTCTCTATTTTAAGATGGATTGGGAAGAAAGTCTTTAGACAGGGAGCAAAGCAGATGAATGTTATGTCAAACTGAAAGTGACACAGCAGCCACATGCCATTTTCAAAACGTAAACCAGAGTCATTAGAAGGAAAGTCCTAGCTGAGATTTGGAATGAATCCCACCCTGACCAAAAACATCACTGTTTTCCCTTAGACTAAGTGTTTAATCTGCTAAAAATGCCACTGACAGAACAGAGACAGCTTTGCATGGCTGTTCAAACTTACGACTGCTTCCAGCGGCCTCTAACCCACGCTGAGCTCCCCAGGGCACTCTGTGAGGGGCGGCCAGCTCACAGGGGGACACATCCCCAGCCCCAACAAAGCCAGCGCTGGCACCACGCCGAGTGCGTCTCTTTTGTGCTTTGAAAACTAGTGGACGCAAGCTGCCAGACCAGCCCGCGCTAGCTGTGGCGCAGTCTGATCTCCACCAACTCTCTGTTGCTGGGAGATTTGCCTTTGATTTCCCAAACTTGGCTGCGAGAATCCTGGTACTCACTGGCCTCCTTTTGCAGATAATGATATCAAGCTTGTTGGCTGGATTGAATGGCTGTCGGGCGGCAGGGTGGTCAGGAGGGAGTCTTTTCATGGAAACATTTGGGACATAAAAGGCCTTGGCAGAGCCAAAAAGGTCCTGCCAATCCTCAGCCTTTCCTAACAGAGAACAAAAGCTGAACAGGCGCCGGGCCTTCGATCTGATGCAGTGGAGTGAAGGCTGCCTTGGCAAGGGAGGAGAAGCGGGATGTGGCAGAGGATGCAGCCTGCCAGCAGCAGGGCTTGCACTGGTCTGCAGTGAGCTGAGCAGCTATAAAACAGACCAGCCTCAGGCGTGGGCGGCTTGTTTAGAGGATGCAATGCCCATGTGTGAGGATTTGGCTCCATCTCCTTCCAGCCTGAGCACCTTTGTCCCACTGCTCTGGGGACTCTGCTGCTTTGTTGAGGAGGAGCTGTCTAACCCGAGATCACAGCCCCTTGCTGGAGCAGGGCTGGGCTGCTCTTTTGTCCAAGCAGCAGCCCCTCTGCGAGGAAGCAGCGACAGCAAGCGGATTACACAAAACAAGACAAACCAAGCGACCTGTAGACAGTCAGAGCTGGGCACTGTTCCCCGCCCTCTGACAAGGGTTGTTCTGTCCTTGCGAGGTGGCCTGGATATACCATCCTGGCAGCTGGCAGCCAGCGCCAAAGGTGGATTTCATCAGCTGTTTGCTGTTAAACAAGGGCTTAATATTAATCCCTGGAGAAGTTTAGCTCCCCTACTCCAGTCAGGGCATGCTGGTGCTTTAAGTTAACAGACCAAATTCTAAAACCAACCTCAAAATCAGGGTTTCACTCAGGCACTCCATTCCACTCTGATGCTTTTTGGCTCTTGCTGGGACTCCCAAGCCAGCCTAAGCGTGCAGTGCCCAGTCCCAGAGGCACAGATATCCAGGAAATTAAGTATTATTAGCATAATACCTGAGATGACCTTTCTCAAGGGGAATTTGCAGAAGCTGTGAGATGAGTCATTCAGTGAACGGATCTAACACCTGCAATCCCATAGATACTGCTGTGTTCATCCTTGTTTCCTGAAAACATTTGACCTAACCAACATCTTACTTAACTGCACCACTTTAACTATATCTTGACATTTAAGATGTCAGAACCTATCTTGTCTAGGACAAAACCATTTGCTCCTTGAAGGCTTAAATGCCTCCCTGCTTTGAGGGCCAGGGTCAGTGACTAAGCATGGAACTCTCCCCCCGTGCTGTGTGCTCAGTCTGACTTTGTAGGACAGACCAACAGTCACAGCTGTGGGGAATGTGGCTGCTCCTTCAAAGGGCAGAAGAGATACAGAGCTGAAGCACACAGGCTCCCAAAGCACAAAAGAGCTGCTCAGATCACAAACCACTTAGTCCACACTGTTCTTCTTTAAAGTTTTCCAAAAAGAAACATTTTGTAACCAAGAACAGGAATTACACAACCACTTCAGAGCTTCAGACCAGCCCACGAGGACACACGAATGACCCCAGACTCATCAGCACTAGGGCAGATACAATCCTGTCACTCATGGCGGAACGGTCCATACCTGTTACTGGCTGCTGGCTTCCCAAACAGACAGCCAGCTGAAGCCTGTGTGATGGCTATGAAGGAGCCTCTGCTCCAAGATTTTTCTTTCTCACACCAATAGGCACCAGCATTCCTCCTTCAGCTCACTGTCTTGCTGTTTGTCCCAAAGCAGCGGCAGAAGGTAGCTAGTATTTTCAGTACTGTAAATGTGCTAGGGAGCCTGTTCTCCTCTTTCATGTTACTACGTATAATTTTCTTTTTGGCACTTTGTTAACGATACCAATTAGAAATAGGTTTGAACTAAAACAGTGGATCTGAACAGCATGAAAGAGTAAGAGGTGAACAATGAACAACTGGCATCTGAACTAAAAAGGCCTGCCTCAGAGCAGGACCAGACCACTGCTTCCACAACCTGGAGCAGAACGTTTTACTGTAAACACAAGCTGTAAGGGAGTTCTCTTATTTATGTTTAAATACTTTTTCTTAGCATATAAAAATTTCATCTGTCACCACAACACTCAAGATCCACCCCAACACTTCAAACAGCGGCAAACCCTGTTTCTGATGTCACAGATAGCCACAAAAACCAAGGGGTTGACCTGGTCCTTGCGAACATGTGTCCCTACACATAACAAAAGCAACGCGTGATGGCACACTCAAAACACTCGGGTCCATCAATTATAAAAGAGGCAACTGACCTTTGCTAGACGCTTCATGTATTTATCCATGATGATCTCGTTAAGGGCCAGTTGTCCCACAAGCCCAGCCAAGCATCTTTGTCTCAGGGAGAGGACAGACGATGACTGGCAGCCAGCAGCATGGCTGAGCCGAGCCCCAGGTCCAGCCCCACAGGGACTGCTCCCCTGGCAAAGCCTCCCAGCAGCTAAGGCAGCTCAGTGGCTTCCTTCAGCACAGTCACTGCTGCCTCTGCCCATCCACTTGGGCAGATGAGCGCAACACAACCGATGCAGAGATGAGGAAGCCCATTTGCACCCCTCACCCCCCCCAAACAATAGGACACTAACGGCAATTTCATGCAAGGTTTCCCTTGCATTTCAATGACAATCAGCCTTAAGTCCCTTGATCCTCAACCAGGCTCTTAAGCAAAAATGTAAATATTTTAATGACCATAGCAGCCATCTGACCCAGGATCTTAATTCCCTGGCCCAAAACAAGCTATTTTTTCCTATTTCTTCCTTATTTTAAAGCAGACACACTATAAAACGAAGGCCTCGCAGCAAAACTACAAGACAAAAATAAGGGGAGGGGGCGCTGCAAACACTGATGGAAATAGGAAATGCCGTTGAGAAAAGAAAACAAAATCTCAAATTGTTTCTTGTCTTTAATTAAAGACACATCAGCCACGGCTGAGTGAGCAAGTAGGGTGGAGGCTGGTGCTGCAGACAGACAATGGGTATCTTGGGAAAACGCAGACATTTCACAGAGCGCAGCCAGCTGCTCCTCTCCCCCATGGCAAACAGCCCTCTGGGGCATCGGAGCAGCTGGAGAGTGAACAGCTGAACTGGGCACGACATGAGGATCCTTGGCTGCCTTTAGGATTGCAGATCTTTTGCAGGAACAGAGAAGTTGTTACCACCCATGGTTTCCCCATTGAGGGGCTTTGTCTTGGCATCATAAGTCATAAGTTGTCTTCACAATGGGCAAGGCTCCAAGGAGCTACATTTAATTTGGAAGTTGGCTTTGAGTTGGATCAGTCCCTTCAAACTTGAATTGTTCTGTGATCTGGTGGTATCTCCGCTTCTGGGAGAGACTGGCCTGGCAGTCAGGCCTCCTGGCACTGACCCCAACTTCTAGAAATAAATTGCCCTGAGCTTTAGCTTCCCCTCCTGTTACATGGAAATGACAACTCCTGCCTTATTTCCCACTGGAAAGGAGACATCACCATGTCTTGTTGACATGTAGACCCTTTCCCCTGACTGGCACTGGAAAGGGGGATTCAGTCACATGCAAAAACTATTCACCTCCAAGGGTTCCAGAAACAAGTCTGAGCTTTGCTGGATTTGAACTCAGACAGTTAGATGGCATAGTCTCTGCAATCTAGGGATGCTAACAAGCTTTGGAAACAACCAGACCATCTCCAGCCTCAAGGGCCATGCAGCAGTTAAATCAAGAGTCTCCAAGTCAATACATGGAACGGACAGACTCCAAGTTGAAGTTGTGAAGAAACATTTAAGACAGGCATTGAAACGCTCCTCAAGACACTTTACCAGAGCTCATTCTCTACCTTTCCACACTCTCTGGGGTCGTACTGTAAGTTGGTGAGAGGGTTTTGTTGTTTATTTAAAAAAAAAAACCCAAAACAAAACACCACCACCAACAACAATGTGGCAACAGTATATGTAGCATTTGCTGCTTTGATGAAAATTAAAGGAATGACAAGGCAGAAGATGAAAGTCTGCCTCATAATCCAAATGAGAGGGTAAAAAGCAGGGGCTGTTTTAACAGGAGTTTCATCACGCCTGGTGTTGGTGATCTTCTGAGCAGCTTAAAGATCCTCCTGTCTCTTCCAACAATGGGAGGTGCACGTGAGAGGAGAAACCCTGATCCAGAGGAGAGGAAGACCAGAGGAGAGGTAAGTGCATACCCCTCCACCTTGAAATCCAGCTTCTCACCATTAGAAGTCACCTAATCTGAGTTGCCTGACCATGTGTGGTAGAACACTACTGCTGGCTCCAGTGACGCACACTCTCTTCCCCTGTAAATAATGAATTTACCCATCACTACCCAAACAACGTAAAGTGATTAAGGGCTGCCCAGCAGTACTTTTAGCACATGTTAGATTGCTTTGACCTGAGGT